GCCGGGTTTGAATCGGATTAGGGCTGGGCAAATTAAGGAACAAATGTTAGGGCTCCAAAAATCGACCTGTCACTTGTCGTAGACCTACTGCTTACACCCGACTCCCGACGAGAATTACTATGTGACCTTTGCCGCTGGATTTCTGTGGATCTATGGGTAGAAAACTCTCTGCACGCCGCCACAAATTCTTAAATTTTGGTATTGAAGATGGGGGTAAAGTAGTCTTTTTAATCCACATCAGTTAATTAGGCAAATTTATCACGCCCAAGTAAATGCTTGATAGGGATTTTGTAAACCTGATTTTGTGCTGATGTGTAAAGGTAAATGGGATTATTGTGTCCAATCCCATCCATCCAAGTAAATGAGGCCTTAGAGTATGTTTGTTTATAGAAATTTTTGGTTTTGTTTGGATTTTTTGGTTTGGTTTGGTTAATTTTGAAAAAAGTGGTATGGTTAGTTGTTAGAGGTTAAATTAAAATAATATTTAAAATAAAATAATTAAAATTGTTTGATATAAAAGTAGGAGAGAGATAGTTTGATGTGATGGTTAGTTAAAATAATGCGAGTGGATGAATAGTGAATTAAGGTTGATGTGGTGTGTATGAATGATTGATTGATATTATTTAACTATTTTGATAATAATTGATGATGGTTGGGTTGAGTTAAAATTGAGTTAAAAAAAGTGGTTGAGTTAAAATGTGGGAAATTTTTTGAAAATTTCTATAAACAAACATGCTCTTAAGGGTTTTTTTTTTTTTTTTTTTGGGTAAGCAACTCAAATCTCAAGGATAATTTCTGTAAATAACTTTTTTGCGCACTGATATTTTCTGATCTTCTAATTTGAACTTCCCATACCAAAAAACCTTAAGTTTGACGTTTTGATTCTGTAAACGGATTAAGGTGACTTTAGGCTTTAAATTTCTGCAGCGAAATACAGCTTAAGAGTCCGAATTGGCTTTTTGGCCAGAGAAAATACGAGGATTCTAGCTCGGCTCCAAAGCTGACTTCTGGTGAAGTTGCAAATGGGAATGCTGATGATGAGAATACAATTGACAGATTATGTGACCTTAATTTGTTCTCGCCTGTTGTCGAGAGCAATGAAGAAGATGTCTTCCAACAGTAAAGTTCCTTCATTTTCTTTCACTTCATTCCCGCATCACGATTTTTATTTGCGGTGTAAATGCCATTAGCATATTAATTTTTACAATCTGCCTCGATTTCTATTTAAAATTTGATTTAAAATTTTTCGTAGATACCTAGCCATGACAACAGTCGACGAGACTAATGGGTGGTATGGTGGCACACTGCTGGGTGATCAAGACGAAAGCAGTGAGATTTACCAGCATTATGCAGAACTTATTCAGGTAAACAGAAGATTCAAACCCGATTTTGAGAAAGCTTGATGTTTTCAAAATATTACATAGGTACTCTTGACATGCATGTACTTGCATAAAGGATGACAGATTACCCATAAATAGAAAATCGAGGATTTAGTTTTAGCTAACTACAGAAATAAAGGAAAACACTTTCGATAATCAATCAAAGAGAGAACAATAATCTTTGCGAATTAAAAAATTGTTTCTTGATATGTTTTCCCCCCTTCTTCTGGTGCGATTCTGAAAACCTTTGCGGGTCGTTTCATAATTAGCCCAAAACTCAGTGACCTTTCTGCAGTTTTAACAACTCCACTATCCTCAATATTATTAGTATATGTAAATAATATCAACCAATAATTCTTACACATTACACCAATTTTAATTCACTATTCGTCCACTCACATAATTTCAACTAACCATCATTTTATATCATCTCTCTCCTACTTTTACATCAAATCAACTTTAATTATTTTGTTTTAAATATTATTTTAATATAAACTCAAAATGCCACTAACAATTGAACATACGAACTTTTCCAAAGTTAATCATGGTTAACTCATTTTGAGCTAATATCTTTGTCTCCAAGCACGCCTCCTTTTCGACGTTTCAGGCATCCATGCTCCGAATGCAACCAACCACGAAGAGCACTTATAACATCCTCAATCGAGTAACTTCTGATTTTTGTGCTTCTCCTTTTTTTTTTTCCTTGCAGGGGCCCACAATGGAACCCTTTGAGAACGACAGTGAGAAGGAGAAATACTATGCAGATCTCGTCTGTGTGAACAAGTTCGACTTCACTGACGATACTGTTACAGAGACAGAAATGGAAAGCGCTCTAAACGAGTATGCACGAGCTGGTGCCGATCTCGGAATCTTCCCAAAGTCGTGCAGCGCGCAGATTCTTGACCCGAGCCAGCTGACGAGATGGATTCTTGGTGAAGATAGGCTGCAGAAGCTATGAAAAGCTCTGTAATTCTTGCTCACCCCTTAAACAAAAGGGAAAAAAAAATGTGCCTACGCTATTGGATGAGGATCATCAGGTGGGCAATTTGGGTATTCTTTTTCATATTGATGCTGTGAAAGTTTGAGATGTGAAACAGTTTAAAAATTGTAAATTTGGTGTTTTTCATTTGTCTTATATTTTTTTGAATTAAAATGTGAATAATTTTGTGCATAGTGGCAACTTGGTATGAACTTGATGTCAAGTAAATGTAAATAAAAATGAACTAATCATATTATTTTCGGTATTTAGCGCAAGTAAATCTAAACCCGATTATAAATTGCATATAATATATCATATAATTTCATCTACTGTATATTTTCGGTATTAGCGCAAGTATATATTTCAATATTACATGCTTGATATATTTATGAACCAATCATGTGGCACGTAAATAAAAGGTATTACTATTTACGAGGAGAAAATAAAATAAATGTTTATTACAATTTTTTCCTCGCCAAGATTTTATCCCATTGAATCTAAAAATCAACCAAAAACAATACTCCCTTCTTTTCAAAATAAGTGTCGTTTTGACTTTTTTGATTCATCCATTTTGCTATGTATCTAGACATTCAAAACAATAGATTTTTCACACAATTTTTTAAGAAATTATTATTATATATTTTATAGAAAAATAATTATTCATCAACTCACCCGTTTCTGACTACCAATTCATGAATTAATATTTTATTTAATTTTTATTAAATTATGTTTAAATTATTATTTATTTTATAACTATTTACAACCTCAAATTATCTCTATTTTTCTTTATATCCATCTTAAGTTTTTCAGTATAAGATATATATTTTTTGTTTTTGAAAAAATCTTTTATCCAATTTCGTGTGAGTCCAGTTCGCTTTAGATTAGTGCTGAATGAGGTAAATATAAATAACTGGATTGGTTTTCTCAATTCAAACACAAACTAATTTAGGCCTGTTTTAAAACCCAATTTAGTGAAGCCCATTATATCAAACATATACATACAGCCCAACTCGACCAATCTTCAGCAGCCGCTCAGGTACAACACTAGCAAATGGAAGACATTGAGGACTTGTTGGCCGGCGGCACCGGCGGAGCGCCGCCGGGTTTCCGTCTGGTGGTTCCAGCTGCCGTAGGTGTCAAGCCAAGGAAGAAGCCTTTGCAAGATTCTCTCAAGAGCAACGATACAGCTAAAATCCCTGGCACTCAGGTGATCTTTTTTTTTTTTTTTTTTTTTTTCAGATTTAGTTATGCTAATCAATTGTAGTTAATTTACTTATACTGTTTTGTGTTATTTTTGTTTTGTTAAAAGTATCGATTTTCATGATGTTGGATTATTCAATCCTGAATTTTTTGTATGATTGCAGACAATCTACATGAAAACTTTCGGCTGCTCACACAATCAGGTAAAACTTTTGTAAGCTGCGGATTTGTTTTCTAGCTGTTTTTATTTGTTTCAATCAGCGTATAAGTGAAAGTGGTATGTAGAGAAGTTTACCCATTGCCTTTGTTCTTCATGTGGTTTAATCTAGTGGATTGTTCTCACTTAGTTATATTTTGTTGCCTTTAAGTAAAGGTGGCATATTGTTTGTCTTCCATTAGCTGTCACGTGTTAGTGGGGGAGTTTGTTTATATTTTGCGGAGTTTGGTTATCCAAAAAAGGCATACATTGCAGGATTAGCTCATCTACAGTGAACCGTGTGGCCATCTGCTAGCAGTCATGTACTCGTGTGAATCGCGGACAGTAGACATTCACAAAATTGGAGGAACTCTTAGAGGGAGTGTTATTTTAAAATGATTTATAACTTTGTGCTGGTTATGCAATTTAGCTACTTTTCACATGTAGCGAATGGTTCAGCCATTTCAGCTGGCTGCAGAATGAAAGAGATCAGTTAAAGAGGGTACTAATCTGAAATGAACAGGAAATTCAAGCTGATTGCACTTAGATATATTTCCCTTCGATGGGTTGTAGGATCTCACAATCTAAAGTAGATCAGGGGTGTAAATTATGCTCCCCATTTCTTCCCTTTATTTCGGCTGTATATGTCTACCTAGTTAGAAAGAGGTTATATCTAAATTTAATACATTTCTAAACTTCAATTTTCAGAGTGATAGTGAATATATGGCGGGGCAGCTTTCTGCATTTGGATACAGTTTAAGCGAAAATCAGGATGAAGCCGACCTATGGCTGATTAACACGTGAGACCCTTTCTTGGCCTTTTCTAGTTATGTCTTCTTGGTTTCTATAATTTGCTGAATGGGAGTGTGTGTAGACCGTCAGAAGTCTCTGTTTTCCAACATCTTAAAGATTTTGGATACTTATCTTCACATCCAACAATTTGTTTTATGTGATGGAAGAAGACTTATTCCCTACCAAATATATTTTTTGGGGAAATCTAAAATCTCTTTTAAGTATGTCTTATAGAATAATCACGCAATATATTATAGTTTTTAATTGTCTTATAGAATAATCGAACTATATGTTATAGATATTTTACTGCCATTGCAATTTGTGTCCCAAGATACTTTCCCTAGTTCTGGTTGATGGGTTCATGTGTGAGAACTTTCATGTCTTCAAACTTAGTTTTCGGTTACTTTTTAGCATGCCCATGCTCTTTCTTTTGCAGCTGTACAGTTAAGTCTCCCAGTCAGTCTGCCATGGAAACACTTATAACTAAATGTAGGAAATCAAAGAAGCCTCTTGTCGTTGCCGGATGTGTTCCTCAAGGAAGTCGTGATCTAAAGGAGCTTGAAGGAGTGAGCATAGTTGGAGTGCAGCAAATTGATCGAGTGGTAGAAGTCGTTGAGGAGACCCTGAAAGGACATGAGGTGCGGCTTTTGACTCGGAGGACATTACCAGCACTTGATCTCCCAAAGGTGCGAAAATATTATTTTATTTTACCTACCAGCATGATGTAATTATGATTCTGTATGTTAATGATATTCTAGAGCTGATTTACATATTAAGTCTCTTAATTGAAACACTTGGTTTTCAATTCGTGTTAGGCTCATTGATTATCATCTCCCTTGCTGATGTTTTTGTTGTTATTGTTACTACTTGTACTACTTTGACGATTCGCTTCTTTTCAGGTTCGAAGAAACAGGTTTGTCGAGATACTTCCAATTAATGTTGGGTGCTTAGGTGCTTGCACCTATTGCAAAACAAAACATGCTCGTGGTCATTTAGGAAGCTACACAGTTGATAGCCTTGTAAGTCCACTGATAAAGAGTTCAGAGAAAGATACTTGAACTGTCAATTAATTTTTATTATAGTATACTCAACCATATTTATGGCCATAGGTGGGTCGTGTGAGAACTGTTATAGCCGATGGAATCAGGGAGATCTGGTTAAGTAGTGAAGACACTGGAGCATACGGTAAGCAGCGTCTACTTTCTTCATCATAACTTGTCTAACCAGGATAGAATGAATGATGAGAAATTATGTGTACATTTCAGCTCCTTGAAGTTGCTTTCGCTTTCGAAATTTCATAAGATGTTAATTATTTGATAGCAAGAAGCTGTGACAGGAATCAGGTGTTATCTGAACAAGTTCCAATCATTTCACTGGATATTGTTTAAATGACTATTTTATGTCTGGATTGACTCTCACAGATAAACGATTAGATTTATTTTTTATTTTTGGATGAATGCTTTCATTTTATGGTGTTGACTTGTGTATTTTACAGGTCGTGACATTGGAGTTAGTCTTCCAATTTTGCTAAATTCTTTAGTAGCAGAGCTGCCTTCGGATGGCAGCACAATGCTCCGAATTGGAATGACTAATCCTCCTTATATTCTGGAGCACTTGAAAGAGATAGCTGAGGTTTTGCGCCATCCTTGTGTTTATTCATTTCTTCACGTACCAGTTCAGTCAGGAAGTGACACCATCTTGACTGTAAGTACTGAACCACATCTTCCTATAACACTTGTTTGCTTGTGCGTGAATTGTTGTATTATTAAATTCCTTGATACAATGGTGAACTGAGCTTGTTTAAAGTTAAAATTCAGGCGATGAACCGGGAGTATACTGTGGGTGAATTTAGAACGGTGGTTGATACATTAATTGAACTAGTTCCTGGGATGCAGATAGCCACAGATATTATATGTGGATTTCCTGGTATGTTTCGGTATCATCACTCACTTCTTTATGTCAAATTATTACAAGTGAATCAATATGTCAAATCAATAAGTTAACATTTCCGTGTATTTACAAAGTTTTATTGTTTGAAAAGTTTGGGTATGGGTAAAAATCATTGCAGTTTGTTTATTTAACTAAAATTCATATGATTAGTTTGGATGTGATTTAGTCTGTTTAAGATAGTTCATCATATCCTTCTTGACAGATCTAAAAAGTAATGCCTATTTTTGGAAGATTACTTTTTGGGGACCTTTTCTTTTTGGCTAATATGAGGGATTTTGGCTTGATTATGTATATGATGACTGTGATAAGCTTTTTTATGACAGTCCAGACACAACAACATTTGTCATCACGTAAATTGTTCTCTGCTTCTCAGGGGAAACTGACGAAGATTTTGAACAGACCGTCAAGCTGATCAAGGAGTACAATTTTGCTCAAGTTCACATATCACAGTTTTATCCTAGGCCTGGTCAGTTTGGTCGTTTCGATATCATGCAAATATGTGTGTGTTGTGTGTGTAATTATAGAATTTCCTTAAACAAGAGCTTGAATTGACTTTTGAAGTTGTCTTTATTCTTATTTTACCTTTCATTTCACATCCTTTTGTTTCCAATGGTAATATGAAGATATCACCATAGTATTTGCCATTTACTTTACCAACATATCCAACCAGGCGAAATTTGAATTCCTTTTATCCTGGTCGGAAAATAAATTTAGATACAAAATATTCCGAAAAGCTTGAGTATGCATGCAGATGGTACTCACTCGCATGATTTTGAAACGAATTCTTTGAATTTGAATGTTGAAATTTCTTCAATATGACTTGAACAGGAACACCTGCTGCAAGGATGAAAAAAGTTCCCAGTAACGTTGTAAAGAAACGTAGCCGTGAGTTGACTACTGTGTTCGAGTCATTTACACCGTATATCGGGATGGAAGGCAAAATAGAGAGGATATGGATTACCGAAGTAGCCACGGATGGAACACACTTGGTAAGATCTTATTTTTTCATTTTCCTCAAATACATCACCCAATCCATCTGTACATTTTCATTTTCTCGACCCGTCACAACTGTCATCTATTTTCCATAGGTGGGCCACACAAAGGGATACATTCAAGTGCTAGTGGATGAGCCTGAAAGCATGTTGGGTTCTTCAGCTATGGTCAAGATAACTTCCGTAGGAAGATGGTCGGTTTTTGGAGAGGTGATTCAGATCCTAAACGAAACCGCGCATTTTCCTATGAAACATGACTCTGCAGAAGAAAACTCGTGTTTGAAAGAAACCTGCTGTTCAAAAGAGGCTGAAACATGCGCCTGTGGACAAACCGAACAGGAAACTGTTTTCGGCACAAAGGATGTCCAAAAGCCGAGAGAAAGCAGAAGCCAAAATCTAGTAGGATGGTTTTTAAGGAAGCGGAAGAACATTAGTTCTTGTAGGACGATAGAGAATGAGAGAAAACCGGAACTGGATGAGAAGCAAGAAACCTCTAGACAGGTTCATGACTGGAGTTCGGTTGATAAAGCCCTTCTTATAGGAATAGTTGTGAGCTTATTGACAATAATTGCTATGCTTTGTATTTGGATCTACAGATTTCTCTAGTGGGAATGATGCATGAATGAATAGATTTTAGATTTCGAAACAGTATTTGTTCTGTGGGGATCTATTATTGTGTGTTGTAATGTTTTTCCTACATTTCATACTGGCTGAATTTCAAAAGCATGTTTTGAGAAGTTATGAATTCAGAATTCCTGTGAAGTTGCAGCAAATCATCGTTATTATTACACACCTATAGATATTGAAATTATATTGTTGTGCTGAGTACATGAAACTGAAGACAGGGAAAACCGTGATCTGCTGTCTAGCTTCAAACTTTCCAACTTTTAAAGCTTTACCCTCACAGAAGTGAGTCTGACCTGGCAGGCAACCTCTTGAAAAAGTTGACAGGTGCTGGTGGCAGCTTGTACCTCAGCCGAGGATGGCGCAGCAAGTAAATCCCGACAAGCAGAGCTACAATCTTGAAAGGTACAACGTACAAAAACACAGCCATGATCAAAGAAAAGACTAGAAAGATAGCAGTAGCTCTTGGATCTCTCCAGTTCAACAAGGCAAGTGCCCTCTCCCCTTGATTCGCCACATCAGCTGTCACGGTCTGAACTCGACCCGCCACACTCCTCAACCTATCGTACCTCATTCTCACAAAGTCGCTCGGTTTTGTAGTGGGGAATGAATCAAATTCCTCTTCGAGTTCATCCGAGTTGGCATTCTCCGCCTGAGAAAGATTTGGGTCCATGTGGGGCGGGTTCCTGGGCCTAAAACGGTAATTCCAAAGCCCGATCACGGAAAGATAGAGGAAAACCGTAGGGAAAATCAGCTCGGGATAGCACACGAGTATCAAGAACAAGATATGGACAAGGACTGTCGTAACCGGGTATTTCCACTGACATATCCCCTCGAACCACGTGCAAGCGTGCTGAACTCCCGAGACAACCGACATCATACGATGGAAGTTAGCTTTGCTCCTCCGCAGGCTGAACATCTGGTGGTCCACGTCAAACATGTACTCGATGACCTCAGCCCGAAGCGGAGGCTCGGCCCGTGCCAGCTCGTTCGCCACTATGTTCATCGCGTAGTGCCTCAGCAGATCGACATGCTTGACGTTTATCGGGTGCACGTAGTGCATTTTGGGCAGCAGCGGCCTCCCGTATTGGGCCAGCATGTGGGCCCATGCCGTGCACGTGAACCTCACCGCGAGGTGGATCTCCCCGTTTCGTTTCAGGCCCGACGGGCCCAAAACCAGGAGGGGGTACGTGTAGGTGTAAACCCGATCGGCCTCCAGAGTCGAGACCCGAATCCTTACCTTGCCCATCTTCTGGTCCTTTGCACCCTCCCCTCCGCTGACGTGGCAGTTGTCGAATACTCCGACCGTGAAAACAGTGCACGTGTCGAAAACTTCCCACGTGTACTGCTCGTTCCAGGTCGGGTGACAGCTGTCGAGAATCGTCCTCGTCCGGACCCACTTGCAACCGTATTTCGCCACGCAGTACGCATCGGTCAGCTTCCCCTGTTTCGCCTTCATAGCCGTGAGATTTCGAGCGCTCAGTATCCCGACCTCGAGAATCCCGACACTTCGCTTTCTCAGCTGATTGGCCGACGGCTGCCGGTCGCTGCTGAACTGAGTCAACTCGTCCAGCACGTGATACCCCGCGTCTAACGAGAGACGGAGGTGGACTCGGCTCGCGAACTTGTCCATCTTCATCTCAATCTGATCCTCGGCTAGAGCCGGCCTCTGCAGCGGGTACCACTGCGTGTCGGGCAGCTTCGACTCGACCCGTTTTTTAACACTGTTGACGGGTATCAGCACGCGCCCGATAACCTTCCCTTTATCCTCCACGCTCACGACTATATACTCGTTGAGTGGCTCCCAAGCAACGTACATGAGCTCCTCATTCCACTCAGGGTTGACCGACCCTTTGACCGGACGGGTTATCCGGCTCTGTTTCCCGTGCTGGACCCTCACGATCGGGTCTGGAGGTTTCGACTTGTCGGCTGGGACGAGGTCTTGGGCTTCGATGACGTGGACACGCAGATAGTACATTTTCGGGGTGAAGTACACTTTCGACCTCGTGTTCGTAAGGTTCTGTTGAGTCACGCCGTGCGCGTCAGACTGCCACGCGTACGGGAACGCCTCGTCAGCTTGAGTACCCATCCAAACCGCTAGCATGATGTCACCATGCCTCAGCAAAACCCCGTTTTTGTCGTGCAGCTTGTACCACTGTGGGGCGAGGGGGCTATCGGGTGCCACGCGCTTCGGGACATCGTTCAAGTCGAACGTGACCCTACCGACAAAATCGTCTCTCGAGAAGTCCTTATCCTTCACATTCACCTCAACCGAGCTGCTCTGTAACCTTTCCTTGGAGAAAGCGAAAACCCGATCCCAAAACGGGTTATGGTTCTTTTCGAAATGCTTGGTGACACCTTTGTAATTTCCGATTTTGACCTCGACATACGGGTCGATGCTACCCGACACGTCGTTTGAAGGGAGGTCCGAGGCTTTCACGACCCGTACGTAGAGAAAGTTCATTGGCTCGACCATGTCATACATGCTAGCTGTTTTGTCTCGGCCCCAATAACCCAATCGAGCGGCTAAAGGTGGCTTGGTCTCGACTAACCCGTAATCGGGCTTCTGAGTCGAGGGAGCTTGCATTCGCATAACGGTAGTAATAGTATCGGCAGATGATGAGGAAACGGGCACTGATTTGCGAGGAGCAGCCGAGACCGAGTGAAAAGTTTTCACTTTTCCTTCTTTTTTTCTTTTCTCGTGATTGGAATTTTCGTTCGATGAGTGTATTTTCAATGTGATTTCGCCCTTCACTTGGGAAAAGAGACCCCTTTTTTCGAGAGGGTATTTGAGGAAAACGGATTCTTGTTCCGAACGAGAGATGGATGAGCCGGAAATCCGAACCTTTCCGAAGAAGTTTTTGTGTTTGCCATTGTTTTTGTCGTTGTACACGAAAACCTCGACCGATCGGGTGGAGAGGTCGTTTGGGTTTTCAATGTCGAAAACGAGCTGCTCGTTCCAAGTGGGGTTGATGAGGTTATTGGGTTTGGTCGAGGTTCGTTTGCGCTGCCTGTCGAATTTGACCTCGACAAAAGGGCTCGAGTTTTCGTGGATGTTCTTGGGCACGAGGTTGCTGGCTTCGAGAACCTCGACCACCAGTTTTGCTGCCATTTATTTTATGGTTTTTTTTTTTTTTTCTGCAGTGAAAAATCTGGGGAGTTTAGGTGTGTTAAGTTTTTAGAGAGAAAAAAGGGGCTGTGGCTGCAAAAGGGTTGTGAAGAAAGTGAAGAAGAATGTGGGAGTACAAAAATGAGCATGCATGAGAAAATGAAGTCAGAGATAAAAGGATGTGCCTATTTTGATTTTGATTTTATGTATTTGATTGAGTACAAATGTATGTATATGTTATACACATGGTATATTAGTATATGATATGGGGAGATGCTACGGTCCCGTTACGGAACCATTCCGTCGTGGATTGTAACCGTTAGATTAACTATCTCCGACGATTAAATGATGATTTATCGGTTACAAACCCCGACGAAATGGTTCCGTGGGACCGTAGCATTTCTCTATAACATGTATCAGCTTGTGATCCTGTATGTGTAATGACAAAGTTTAGCCCGAGATTTTGCTTGTTTAGATAAAAGCTCAGTTTTTATTCAGAACTTGAACTACACTGTTTTTAGTAATTTGCTTAATTTCAAGGCAATTTTAGATAGTCAACTGTATGAAATAAATTCCAGTATTTTCTTATATATATATAATGTAAAAAAAAAAAAAATCCTAATGAAATTATTTTACTTTACTGCCATCTGAATGCATTCCTTGAGAGGTGATATTCTTTCTCTAGTGTTTTATTCTGTTTCCACTCATTTTTTATTGTCTGTTTGCATGAAAGCTTTAAAAAAAAAAAAAAAAAAAGGATTGAGAACTGGCCAAATTACTTCACTATATATATTCTTCTGCTGCTTTTTCTTACAGCTTTTTACAAGATTTTTGTCAACTTTGTGACATTTCAAGTATAGAAAAAAAAGGTAGAACACAATGTGCCTTGATTTTGATTTGCAACCTAAACAAATTAATGCCTCTTGGTTTGAAACATCTCTCTTTTAAATATTACACTTAAGAAGCGAAAAATCGATACGAGTATTCGCAATGCATGCATCAAATTTTTTACCGTTAGATCAACAAACACCTGTATTAGTGTGATCCAACAATGAATATTCCGATTTTCGCACTTGTAGGGATGAATTTCCCCACTTGAGAGGAGGTGGCTATTAGGGCTCATATAGATTATAGTTGTGAAGGAAAAACAAAAAATAAAAATGTGCAAAGTGAAGATTAAATTGTTGAAAATTGGGAAAGTTGCTTGCATATAAAAAAAACAAGGCAAAAAAGATGATAAAATGGGGAATCCATAAAAGGAAACAAAATGCATGCTCTCTCTCTATATATTGTCCTTTAGCATGAAATGTGGGTGCAAGAGCATATTCCAGCTTTAGCCCATTTTTCAAGACTAGACTTAAGAAGCCCATGTCCAAAAGTAGAAGTTTAGAACCCTAATTAAATACTTTTTTTTTAATTGATGTATAATTTTTAATGTGAAATGTGATTCTTATAAAAAAAAAAAAAAAAGGTAAATTGTTGTTCTACTTTGCTCATCTATTTTTCATATTATATGACATTTCAATTTTTTAGAGTGAATTTACATAGCCATACTACATTTGTAAAATCTTCACTTTCTAAGTTATAGTATAAAGAATAACGATTTGGCTACGAAGCCAACAATTAGCTCCATAGCGGAGTCAACCTTCTATATAGAACAGGTAAATCATACCATATTATCTGATTACTTAAATAACACTAATAATTTTATTAATATGGTATGGTTTTTTTGCCGTATATAGAAGATTGGCTCCGCTATGGAGTCAATTGTTGACTTCATATCAAAACCGAAAAGAATATAGTTAGTCTAGTTTTTCTCACCAGTTGATTTACCGAATTATATGTTGGCAATATTTATACAATTGATTTTGTTAATTATAATGGAAAGAATAATATATGTTTTTATGCATATTTTTGATAACTCAATCAAAATTTATAAAATTGATTTTGCCTCTAAAGAAAATACTATTATTTTTTTTCATTTTTATTTATTATTATTTTCCTATGGTCCTAAAGGGAGGATTGATCCTCTTGGATAAATTCATTGTGTGATAAAAAGGTTAAAAATTAAAAGTAAAGTTCTTGCAGAATATTGCCTAATGGATTTCTAAGCCTTTGGTATATTCAACTTTTTCATTAAAGGGAATCATTTGGCAAAAGATTCTTTCAATGGATAATTGCAACACTTTTTCCTGTGCTGGGCCCATTCTTTACAGTAAAAACACAGTTGTGTTCCAGGCTAAATGATCCATCCCAATTGGATCAATCTCAACTGGACTTGCAATTTCAGCCCAAAATGTAAGGGTAATTTGCACAAGTTTCTCACACGGATTACCCAAAGAATATTATTGGGCTCAGTCCATCAGTCAACGGGCCAACTGTGAGGCTTTCTGAAAGCTAACACAAATTAGACTTGTTTTTTTTGTGGTTGGTTTCTAAAATGTCTTTTTTTTTTTTCTTTTTTTTTTTTTGAAGTTAATAACTCGTTTATGATGATTTAAATATAAGTTTGGGAAATGCTAGTTCCTGTTACGGTACCATCCTGTTGGGTGTTTTAACCGTTGAATCATCTATCTTATACTAACTACATGTATATCCAACGGTTAAAACACTCGACGAGATGATACCGCGACCGTAGCATTTCCCATTAATTTTACATTTTTCATATTTTGCAAAAGTTTTCAAGAAGGGTAAGGGTGGGAGGAGAGAGTACAGGTAGAAAATACATTACTTGTGGAGATTAGCAACTATCTCTCAATTTTGTTTCCAATTTACAAATTGCTCCCTATTTGTTTTGGCAAATACCACATGGAATGAACTTTGAACACATAATGTTCAAGTGTAGCTTCTGTATTATATTTATATCAGGGGAAAAAAAAGAAGACCTCTAGGGAATTTTCCAAACCACAAAAAGTCTGATCAGCAAGTGTGAACCCATAAACCAAATCAATCTCTAAAGAGTAGCAAAATCATAAATACACTAGCAGTAAAAATGGAAAAAAAAAAAAAGAAAAATAAAAAAAAACACCATTTAGATTAGCAGAAGCCCCTTAAAATCCATGCAAGCCTTAAGAAAATTCACCGGTTTGTGGCAAAGCTCGTAAAACATTCGAATCCTCCCTCAGTTTCCTTCCTTTTCTTAGACGTCAAAACCCAATCGTCATTGTGTAAACGTTCACTGTACGGAAGCTTGTCAGCGAGAAACAAGAATGGTCTGCTCTCGTCCGCTTTAATCACACTTGTCGACAAGTTACCAAACACAGGATTAACGGGGCAGCCAGGATTGTACAATCCCGGCAACAAGTTGTGTTGTTGAGGATGATATCCAAGATATTGAGCCGTACCAATTTGTAGCGGAACTTTGTAAGGGTAAGCTTGATGAGGAGGTAAAGGGTGTAATAAAGCTGGAAACTTTGGCTGCAACGAACCGTAACTGGCCAAATGCTGCATGGGACTCGAAACCGGCGGATGATAATCACGTCTGATAGGAATAAAATCTTGATATCCAGATTTCATGGGATCTGAAGTCCTGCTTGTGTTATCATTCAAGTTCAAGTCTAACAAATGTGGATTTTCAAGTGAAGGTAGAGTTAACTCATCACTCGCATCGAAAATTTGATTCAGATCGATACAGGGATTCGATGATCGTTTTAAATCGACAGCTGGACAAGAATCTTGTGAATTCACGCGTGGGCTAGCTAATATTTTCCCCATGACATCATCTTCGACAGCAGCAACATTTAAGTCGAACCCAGAAAAGCAAAACTGGTGTTTTTCTCCGTTTGAGCTTCTCGAAGTAGAAAAAGGCCAAAAAGCGCTCGTCTTGCTGGGGCCCGTCCATCCCAGCCTGCCTCGAAACTCCAAAGGAAACGGGGACTGTCCACTAAGCACTCCTGTTTTCGCCACAACACGTATCACACCATGAAACACAGGCTGAATAAAATCCCCCCCTATTCCATTTTCATTGATGATATCTTCATTCAGATCAAATTCAGCAACTTTTGCTATCGAGGACTCGGAAGATTCGTATTTGCATTTCGGGTTCCATGTGTTTTCGCCACCTTCCCTCAATAATCCCTCATGATTCATCAAAATCATTGTTTCTCCCGAATGAGTTGGAAGATTCTCATGTACATTATCTGAAGTATCAGAATAGACGGAATATTTTCCGGGGACTCCAGCTTGCTGCTCGCGATTCTGAAATGAAAAAGGAAAGTTGACGGACAAAGAGTTTGAACAAGAGGACTCAGTCCTGTGATGAGAGTCGTGTGGAGTTATTGCATTTATCTCGTCTTCAGCAGCTCTTCGAGTGTTTACTTTGAAATTCACATTCCCAAGAGGTAAACCAGTTTCTCTACTAATTCCGCTTTTTCCCGATTCAAATGTATGACCGTGCGAAGCTGTTGATGTCGAAATTTGTGTGTTTGTGTTTAGACCTTTGTAACCGTGACGACTGTGATTCTTCATTTGCTTGCTCTCGGCCATAGCTGTTAGTGCCGTTTGCAGCCTAAGCGATTGCCGAACACTATCAGGTGCAAGAAAACAACAATATCGACTTTACGAGACAATCGTGCAAACTAATGATGTAAGGAGGCCACACCCAATTCTTTTTTTCTTCTCACAAATTTATAAACTCTGCAGAAAACAAAAAATCAGCTCTGTTAGGAATGGGCATGGCTTTCACTATTTTCCTTTTTCAGAAGTAACATTATCATTCAGTTTGATAACGTGTTTCGACAATAGTAGTTAGACAACAAGAAAATTGCAGCAATAACCAGAGGAACAATGAAAGGTAATGCAAGTAAAACAAAAACAAAAAACACAAAAAAAAAAAGTTCCAATTTTCAACAAATTTTCAAAGGGCTTTTCTGGGTGTTTTTGGGTATCAAAGTTTTAATCTTCATATGTCAAATCTATAGCATAAACAGAGGTTTTCAGCTCAATAATTACAATAACAAAAACACACAATAATTACTGAGTGAAAAAAATATGAATTTTAGCTTTCAGTTCCAACCAAATCTTAGGAGAAACTAAAAAGAGCTAATAAACTGGAAAAGTTGAATCTGGGCCTTAGTTTTTTTTCCAGCTCATGAGTAATGTTAAAGCTACAAAAAGTGATAATAAGCTGAAAATTTCAGATCTGCGAGAAGAGAGCACAAGCAAATCTGAACAAACACTGAATGTATAAAGGGGCAAAGCTTGAAGCCCAGAAGAAAGTAAAAGGAAATCTGAAAAACACTAAAATATATGCCAACAATAAAAGATTTCAGAAAACTTCACCTTACCCTTTGTGTAGTCTCTCAAAAGAAAATATAAATAGAGTTTTTAAAACCAAGCACAGAGTAGAGCCTCAAACTTTATCTTCCTTAAAAAAGAGAACCTATTTGAGAAAACCTATAAACTGAGGAAAATTTCACAGATCAAGAACACAAATAAACGAGCCCATCTCAAAATAAATATTAAAAAAAAAAAAGAAGGAAACAAAAACTGAGAGAAAACAGAGAAAGCAGCAAAGACTGGTGACAAACCTGGAGCATAAAGCCTTGGACTTGGAGCTTGCAGATCTTGAAAAGCTCTCAGCTTTTCAGCTTGAGAATATCGATATATATAAAAGAAAAAAAAAAAAGAGGCCTTTGCTTTTCAGAGAGAAATCAGATGACAAAACTCAAACCAAACACAAAGAAACAGAGCCCCTTTTTACTCCTTGATGAAAACCCAGAAAAATAGACACAGCATGAGGTGAGGTGACCCTTTCATCTACCATTACTCTCTCTCTCTCTCTCTCTCTCTCTCTCTCTCTTTGGGGCCAAGAAAATGAAAGGGACAGAAATGAAATCACTAAGAAATATACGAAAAGCGTAGTCAACAGCTACACGGACATGGTCACATGCCCTCGATAGCAGACAGAGAACAATTGCACACACAGTGTGAACCCATCAAATACAATTTTTTTTTTTTTTAAAGGGCGAAAATTAAAAGGACAGTGAAACAAATGAAGCAAAAATTGCGTGGGTATAAACTATAAAGGAATGGGCAGTGGCACGGCGGCGACACCCGCTAGTGTGTGTACTGTGTGTGTGTGTGTCAGAATCAAAGAGCAGAGGACGTTGGGACCCCCTCCATTTTTTTTGTTTTTTTTTCATTACTGTATGTGTGGGGCCCAGCCAAGAGCATGGAGAGGCAGGAGTTACAACAGCAGCTGGGTCCCACATAACAAGGTGATGTGCATATTTTTGTTTCTCACTTTTGGGGAAAACTGAGAACATAATCACCATTATCATCATCATCAATGAATGAATTGATTGACGGGTGATAATTTTTTCTTTCTTTTGTCTTTCCCTCAAGTAGACTCTTAGGGTCGGTACGGTTCGAAAATTAACAAATTTTTAGAATTGTACCAAAGTTCGGAGATCCCAAAATTTTATCTTTGGAACCGTGCTAAAGTGTCGGTTCGGTTCGATTCAGAGATTCTTATTTTTCGGTTCAGTTCGGTTCGGTATTCGGGACTATTAGGACGGTATGGTTCGGTATGGTTTGATCGGATATTCCGAGATTTTTTTTTTTTTAGATATTTTTTGAATGACTACCTAGTTATATTTTAACTTTTTATATGCTTCAAAAAACCAACATTCATCAATAATTCATCATATTGAATTTTTTATTTTGAAATCAATTTTAAAAGTAACTCTAATTTTAGTTATTTAATTTTTATATGATTTAATAAAACCAACATTCATCAATATTTCCTCATATTAAAAATTTTATTTTGAAATCAACTTTAGAAGTAACTCTAAATTTTAGATAAGACTCAATTTGTGCAACTAATGCTGAAAATTCAAACAAAATATAATATTTTTTTCTAAAAAAAATATTCTTTAACCTTTCATATTATTTTAAATAACTATTTTATAATAGAAAAAATTCAATTGTAGATCAAGGATTACTAAACATGAAAGTTAAGTGAATGTTAATAGTCATTATTACTCTACTATATAGGATCAAAGGTGAGTTAAAATATATTAATAACACATCTAATGGTATATTCGGTTTTTAGTTTCGATTATTCGGTTCGGTACGGTATGGGACGGTTCGATTCGGTTCTCGGTACGGATATTTGTGAAATCACCAGAACCGTACCAATTATTTTTTCGGTTCGGTTCGGTGCGGAGATAGTCAAACAGTCAACGATTATTTTTCGGTTCGGAGTTATTTCGGTTCGGTTTTCGGAACGGTTCGAAATTCTCCGAGCCCCATGCTCAGCCCTCTACATGTGGTGAATCCAGCTCGACTCGATAAGATTAAAAAATAATTTTTTATATGATTTTTTCATAATTTGACTTTGAAAGATATTTTGTTTTGGCAAAAGTTCGAAATTTCACATAGCTGAAGACATGTTCGAACAAGTACCTGGAACTACAAAAAAAATAGAAGATCTTTAATTATTTTATTTCCTTGCTTAGATTATTTTATATTCCATATATAAGATTGCATGGATCTTATTATGGTATTTTTCATTGTAGAAAATCGGGCTTAATGGCAACAAGGAAAGAGAGTCATGCTTAAGGAAGAGATCTAGGAGGGAGAAGAGGAAATCCACTTACCTAACTTATGCTACAAATATGGAAGGAAATCACATAAGGAGTCCTATGTGTTGGAGAAGACTTCAACCCGAAGGAGATTGTATAAATACCCTATGAGAAGCTCTTATTGCGGTTGTTGATATTATTGATACTTAAAGGAATACTCGAGCTTGTTATAGATATTCTGTTACATTGGTTTTTGTTCACAGTTCAGTTCGAGGGTTTTTACGCATCCAAGAACTGAAGCTGTTTAGTTTGTTTTTTTCTTTATTTTCACTCAAACTATTTTGTGTTTTACACTTAGGGATTAAATGTAGGTTTAAAAGTCAACGGGACGTGGCCGGAGAAATAGTTGATAGGATCGTGAATAGTGTTGGCTAGACTAGAAGGAAATTCAAGTCTTGTAAGCCTAAACTATGTCATTGATTTATCAATGAAAGAGCTCTGAAGGGAAGTGAGACGTTTCCCTTAAGTATTGTTTAAATCTTCGGTATATTGCTTCCGCATTTATAACTATTATTTTCGTTCATACTACATTTCGCGCATTTGCAATTAATTATACGTTTCAGACTTGTTAAGACTTGAATTCAACTCTTAACGAGTTAAGATTGAGCTCGATTAATGATTCATTATTGACTCGAACTCGTTTGGTTGACACTTTCTTTTTACACTCTATTTACAAAAGAAATAATGATTCTTAGTAGTACACAGTGACCTATTGACAGCAAGAAAGAAACCTTTGCACATTTTCCAAAAAATAATGATAAAAAAAAAGATGTCTTGGGGGTGTAGCCTCATTTTTTTGTGCATTTAATCAAAAGTCAAGATAATGATGAGCTGTGTTTCCAAAACAAAATGATGTCTTTCCAACAACACATGCATTCCAACATATTTATCTCATAAATGAATGAAAAAAGGTTTAATCACAGTTACATTAATATGAAGGGGTCAAATAGTCAATTGAATAAAACATGATAAATTTATTGTTGGATATGAGTGTATGATTCAATAAGGACATCTTTAAAGATAATAATTATTACTAGCTATATGGTCAGCTGACGTGGATGTGAGAAATAAGAAAAATAATTATTTTACACTATTGGACCTACGTACTCCTCTCACATGATCTTGGGCTACGTGAAATAGATAAACTATTTGTTCGTCGCTAGTGACTACTCTCTTTCCTACTTTTCTCATGTCCACGTCATAATAGTTAGCCAAATAGCCAACCATTGAGGACGCCGTAATAATAATAAAAAAAAAACACCTTTATTTAGTTGTCACTTGTAACAATTAAAATCTCCCTCAATTAATGTAGTTGCTTGCAGTATAAGAAAGAGAGTAATCTACTTGAATTATTTGTTTGGCATATGTTTGACTTGGAAAATTTTCATCTTGTTGTAATGTTTCTTTTGGTCTTAATTACACTTATTTTGGACTCTATTTTTTAAAATTTTGATCCCCTGCCCACGGTTGGTAGTGCTCACCATTTTGTTTTACTAGTACGTACCCCGTGCGATGCACGGAACATAGATATTAAATGAGTTATTTTAACAGTCTTGTCCGTTTAAATCTTAAAAGTAATAGTGTTATTATCAATTTTCTACCTCTTTTGATCAACATTAAGTCTAAAAATAATAAGGTTATAAGTTTTTTTTCATATCTTTTAACCAGCATTGTTTTTTAGCCAGAACTTAAATATGAGTATGTTAGGGCTAGCTTGTAAAATAATTAATATATTATCTCACTAAGATATTTATACTAATAAAACTTTAATTTCAGTATATAAATTTTTCCCTTGTTATAAAAAAAAGTAACAGTTTTATTTATTCTTGTTCATCATATAATATTTAATTATTATTTTATTATATAATAAAAAAGAATAGTGTTAAATAATTTTTTTAACACAAAGATAATATTAAAAAAAATATAAATATCCATACAAATATACAAACCAAGTTTTTTTAATAGTTTTTTATAAGTTTTATAAAAATATATTATAATTTGTTAGTGTATTATTCAAAATCGTAATATTGAGTTGTAGTTTTTAGAAACAGAATTTTGATTGTTTTTTCTCACCCCATTTTATAGGATTTTTTAATGTCAAGATAAGAAGGATTAAAAACAATATGTAAAATAAGAAACTTGATTAAAATTATAAATGCATTAATTACTACTTGATAAATTTAGAAGTTCATTAATTAAAGTTGACTTTTCTACCTACTATATTTAGTAAATAGGTTTCCTTTTAATATAAGTATAGATATGCAAAACGTATTCTGAGAATACGTTTTTCAATTAATTTTAATTGAAAAACGTATTCTCAGAATACGTTTTTCATATAAAACAAAGTGGTGGACACTGCCCACCGTGAGCAGGTGAGCAGGACTACTATTTTTTATTACAATGGACAAAATTTACATCTTCTTGCTGAGCTTCATGTTTGTTTTTAATTTAAAGACTCAATCTTTTACCACTAGTCATGGGCCTTTAAAGACATTAATTTATGTCCCTCAAATATTTGTCAGTTTTACAGTTGATGGGAATTAGATGCTCCCTATCTAGACCCATTGTAGGCCTGATGTTGACAAGATTCCTCAAACAAAGACTGCATTTTTATTGTACCCAATCCACTTTTAGCTTATTTGGTTAGCTTATAAGCTCCCTGTTTAAAATTAGTCTCGTTTGGTAGGACGAGCTTTTTTAAAAAGCTCGAGCTTATTTCATAAGCTACTTTAGGTAGCTTTTCAAATAAGCTAGTTGAATTTTTTTTATTTCAGCTAGCTTATCAGCTAATTTACCAAACACCTTTTATCATATAAGCTAGCTTTTCAGCTATAAGTCATAAGCTATAAGCTATAAGCTCAAAAATTACATATAAGCTATAAGCTAGCTTGTCAGCTATCAGCTAATTTTACCAAACATAGCCTTAATGTTCAACCTCATTCAGGACAAAAAAAAAAAAAAAACCAAATATCATTAATCTTTCTTGTTCTCAATCACACAAATCTTAATCAAAACTTTTCAAAAACTCATAACATGTGTGTTATACAATTGAGTAGGCCTAGAGCTAGAACGAAATGAGACGCTCGTGATCTGGGCTCGGCTCAGCTCGTTTCGCTTGATAAACGAGTAGAGTTCAAACTTATTAAAAGCTTATTTAGTAAAAATATTTAGGTTCAATTTGACTCGTTAATGTTCGAAAATGAGAATTTATGATAAGGTTCAAGCTCAACTCGTCAATATTGATATGTGAGTCGAGCTCGAGCTCTACTACTGCCTTGTTTAGTTAACCAGTCGGCTCATTAAGGGCACGAGCACCATGAACTCCAATCATCAGCTCGACTCGATTCGTTTACAACCCTAAATAAACCTAATAATTGTGCAGTCAGTATTTCGCACCATGAACTCCAATCATCAGCTCGACTCGATTCGTCTACAACCCTAAATAAGCCTAATAATTGTGTTGTCAGTATTTTAATTTTTTTAGCATATATGCATACTTTGAACAAAAAAATCTTATATTTAAAAAACAATACAAACTAATAATTATACCATAAAAATACGTTTTTATTTTAAAAAAAATGACGATTCGACCCGTTTAACGATTCAGTCTCATATAAAAGATTTTTCTTATAATATTATGTATGCATCCCAATTTACTATGCATTACATTCCTACGATAATAGGAAAGTGATGGAGCACATATTAGATGGTTCAATTTTAGAAGAATATTTTTCTTACTATTATATAATATTATTAGATTAGATGCTGTTTTTCTAATGGATCACCACAACATCAACCTCAACTATAATAGTAATAGTAAATGCGTGTATATGTGTGTTTATAGAAATGAAGTCATGAAAAAGTTGAAAGCGACCATGAAAGAGCAACTCATTGTGTTGGGTAATATGATTATTAAGAAAATATAAAAAGAAAAAAAAAAAAGTATAAGGTAATATTCGGTTCAAAATCTAGTTTGGATTTGGATTGCTTCATTCTCTTCTCTTTAAATTGGGCTTCATTTAAAATTTGGGCCTCAAATGCCTTTGAGCCCAATTAAAATCGATACACAAAAAACCAGAGAGTGCCACGTATAATTCCACAACGGCATGCAGCACGCCACGTGTTTGCCTCCCTTACAACCGCCATACTACGTGTCAATCGTACAACTCCCTTACATAAACACACACTCCCAACAAACTCCCATTTTTTCTCTGCAAAAAAACTGTCACCAAAATTCACCAGTTCAAAGAAAAAAACTCCACACAGATCCAAACAAAATTCTCAAGAAAAAAAAAAAAGAGAAAGAAAATGATGAATGCTTTGGCTCTGGGCCTCGTTCTGACCTCCCTCCTAACCGCCGGCTTCTTCTCCCCGACCCCCGAAACCCGGCAGCAACCGTCGGCGAGCGATGACGTCATCGTCAAAGACGGCCACCGCGTGGTGGTGGTCGAGTTCGAGAAAGACGACGGCGGCCACACCAAGGTCCTGATCTCTCCTCCGGAACACGAATCCGAAATCACCGGAAAATCTGAAATTTCAGAGCCGATGAAATCCGACGAAAACGAAGAAGAAGAAGAAGCCGCTCCTAAATTCCGGCCTCGGGAGCTCGTCTGCGACGCGTACGGCAAGTGCAAGCACAAAATCGCGAGCGCGTTTGAGAAGACGAAGGAAGCCGTGGCCGACAAGATCCACGCCGTTGAAGACGAGGCTAAGCAAACGGTGGATAAAATTTCGGAAAAATCTCACGAATTGAAAGAGGGCGCGAAAAAAGAAGGCCGCGAAATCAAAGAAGGCGCGAAGAAGGTCAAGGAGAAACTCGAAGACGAGGCCAAAGAGACGAAAGATAAAATTTCGGAAAAATCACACGAAATAAAGGAGGCCGCGAAGAAAGAGTCCGACGAAATCAAAGAAGGCGCGAAAAGGGTCGAGGAGGAAGTCGAAGGAGCTCGAGAAATGGCGAAAGCCGCGAAAAGGGAAGGGGAAAAGGAATTGGGCGAAATCGTGCGCGGAGTTCGCCAAATCGGAGGCGATGTTTTTAATTACGTGTTTTCGCGGGAAAGGTGGGAACCGCTTTTCGGTATATTGCATTTGTTGGGGTTTGCATCGGCCTACGGGACGTGCGTGTGGGTCACGTTTGCGTCGAGCTACGTGCTGGCGGGGAGCTTGCCGAGGGGACAATTCGGTGTGGTGCAAAGCAGGATTTACCCGGTTTACTTCAGGGCCGTGGCGTATAGTCTGGGATTGGCGATTTTGGGTCATGTTTTGATGATGGGTCGGGCGGGTTTGTTCCACGGGTTCAATTTGGCGGGCGCTTTCGGAATTGTTTTGGCGAACATGCTTTATTTGGAGCCACGAGCAGCCAAGGTTTGTTTATGTGAATGTCGTGTAGTGTGCGTTCGTGTTTCGTGTATTGTCACTCCTTGCCATGTGTTAATTATTCAGAGTAATTTCCTTTAATCAAATGTTTGGGATATATTTGTGTTATGAATTTGATTTTTTCACTTTTAAGGTGATGGTCGAGAGGATGAAAAGGGAGAAGGAAGAAGGTGCCGGAAAAGAGGTGGCAACCGAGCCTAGTAGTGGCGGCACACGAGCAACGGGCTCGATTGCAGAAACTGCAGGAAGAGGTAGTTTGACAGCTGCAGAGAATCTAGGCCGGAAAGAAAAGCAGCATAAGAATGAAGAAGAAGAAATGGCGGCAAAAGCAGAGCTCGCAAGATTGAGCGAGAAGCTTCGGGGGCTGAACTCGTATTCGTCTTTTCTCAACGTTTTGACTCTCATGTCCCTCACATGGCACCTGGTTCACCTTGGCCACCGTCTTCATGCAACATGCTATTGATTGGTTTAGGGGGTAATGTGGCCTGTATTCTGTGTCTTGTTTGTTTGTTCAATGTTGATCTTAGTGTGTAAATTTAGTTTGTTTCAAGGATTTCGCATGTTGTAGTTTTCTCATGGTTATGTGAAGTAGGATGAAGTTCAAACAGAGTTTTCTTGTTCTTTTTATCATGCTTCCTTTGGGGATGAGATGTTCACTCTAGAGGACCGCTCATTTTCAAGTTCAATATTCTGATAGTTGAATTGAAGCTTCGACCCATATTGCCAACATGGGGATCCAATCGGGTCATCAACACGCAATGATCCGAGGTGAATCTTCCCCCAACAAATAGCATGGAACTGATAGGCTATCAACTACAAAGCTATTGCGTGTTTGTCTGTCTAACTTTTTAGCATGAAACTGATAGGCTATCAACTACAATGCACGTCAACCAAACACTCTTAGTCTGTAACTTTTTAGCACGAAACTTGACACTCTTAGTCTGTAACTTTTTAGCACGAAACTGATAGGCTATCAACTACAACGCACATTAACCAAACACTCTTAAGTCTAACGACCAATTGATGCTATTGTGCATAACACTCTTAGTCTGTAACTTTTTAGCACGAAACTTGACACTCTTAGTCTGTAACTTTTTAGCACGAAACTGATAGGCTATCAACTACAACGCACATTAACCAAACACTCTTAAGTCTAACGACCAATTGATGCTATTGTGCATTTGCCGCTATTGTGCATTTGCCTGTTCGTAACTTTTGAACACTCTTAGTCTTACAACTAATTGATGCTATTGTGCATTTGCCTGTTTGCAACTTTTATAACTCCATCTAATAAGGGTTCATTCAACCCTAGTGCAAAAAACTCGTTGGTTGAAATCTTACTCATTTAAGGATCTTTAGAACTTCTCCTTAAAGTGGGAGTATGTTGAAAATTACAGCCTTATGATTATGTGGCCATAACCATACAGGAAGTAGGAAGAATTTTAATCATGCTGACTTCAATATAGGGACCGATATATTGGTCGAACAAAAACTTACGCAGATCCTTAGACATTACTCAAATCTCAAATTCTCAAAATAAAATCCTCTTAAACATTGCGAGTACAAATATTGAAAGAGAATCAATCAACTACTGGCTGAGGTCTACATATATAAACGAAATGCCTAAGCAGCAAAAATTTACAAGCTACAAACATTTCACAGCAAAATGCAACATTTGAAATATGAAAAGACGGAGTTTTTTTTTTTCAGCCCGTCACTCCCAGGACCCGAACCGAGCTTTAACAAGTAACATTCTTGCATTTTCATTGCTGCAAAAAAAAAAAAAATTCATTCACCTGTTTCTCCAGACTTCCACAGAGCTGTTGCTTTCCCGAAGCGTTTATCCTATCATGGGGGAAAATGAAAGCAACGTGCAGATCAATCACATTTGATGTTTTTGTAAATTCTCCGAACGAACAAGTTTGATCCCAAATATCCGACAGCACCTGAAATTTACAGCAGATCAACGGATTAATTCAAATCAGCTATAGTACATACAGTGATATTTGTTAAGTAAATACAAAATCCAATAGGGAATTTGAAGTGCTTAAGGATGTGACAATGTTAAAAGATTACTGGAACAATCCCACATAGGGTGAACGTAAAAGAAATGCATACACCGTACTCCGTAGGGATGATAAACTTACCACATAGTATCCCCAGACCAAGACAGAACATCAAAGTGTACCCAAAATAAAAGCTGGTCTGGAAAAAGCCCGACATCTTTGTCTTCACGTGATAGTAATATATAGAGTAGAGGTATACATAAAGAGCGGTTGAGGCAGCAGAGAAGAATGAAGTCCATTGCCAGTGATAGTTCTCCGCGTTTAGCAAGAAGTACGTGCCCACAATTGTCACACAAATGGTGACGATGATCAGGATCACAAACACGAGCAGCATGAAGCCATACACATAGTAAACCTATCAACCACAACAATGCATTAACAATAACAGCAATGAGTTTATTTTGGGTTTTTTCTTTTCTTTTGGTTCTGATTCTGTAAGTTCAAGGAACAGTAAATATCTTCGGCATCTGACAAGTCTAAAGCGCAAGACTGAGAATGACTTAATAGCAGATAAAACATCAAGCCTACATATGGCAGAAAATATTTTCCAACATAAAAATAAAACAGAAGTACCTTGTAATTCCAGAAGGACGTGAAGACGAAATACATCTCAATGAAAATGCTCCCGAAAGGAAGCAGACCTCCCATGAGAGAGATGACAGAAGGTGTGAGGTACCACTTCTTCTCGGGGATCGGACGAGGGATGGTCTTCACACGGCAAGGATTGTTAGGGGCACCACTCCAGTTTCTTCCGACAACAGTGCCGAGAAGCGCCAGTGGGAAAGAAATAAATGCCCAAATGACAAAAACAACCACCATTGTGCCAAAAGGTATGGCAGCCAAAGAACCGTAGAATATCGCAATCGTGTTCAAGATGAAGCCGATGCCGAAACAAATGAAAGGGAAAAGTGATGCCGTGAGGATCATTGACTTTATCCATGTTTTACCTTTACATGAGATAAAATAATGTCAAAATATGTTATTTATGCAGAATTACTCAAAATATGAAGGATTTTTATTTTTCCTTTTAGAAGAAGGTTTACTGGAGAACATACCCCCATTGCGCGAATACATGCCACCACTCACATAACCAGCTATAAATGATGTAAAAGCATAACATACGATAAAGGTCGTGACAATTGCTCCTCTCCTGAGTCATAAATGCAAATAGTTAAAACACAGAAATCAGTAGGTCTTATCATAAAAATGTGGGATACACTGAGCTTTTAATACTTAATTTTTTGGGAGCTATAGTCCAACCCAACTAGTTCCTCATACAGAAAACTATGGAGCAAACTCATTTTTTGGATGAAAAAAGAATTATCAAATATCAAGTCATTTCTTAGCAAACCCTGTGTACAGATAGTAAAAGATAGTTTTCGCATACCCAATGTACAACATTCCAACAATTGCAAAAATGATCACAAGCAAAACCAGTGTTGCTAATTGAGCCCCAGTTCCAACAACAGCTGAAAGAAGAGCGAGGTTTTGGGAAGGTCGAAACACATCACCGTGGACAAGTTTCCAACCAGATTCTTCACTCACATCCCGTTCCTAGACATGTAACACTCATAAGCAAGCTTCCAAAATATATGCCGTCCTTCAATTTGGTCAACTAGTGAATAGAGAAAAATTAAGTAATAAACTGACAATTACCAGAGTCTCCAGATCATCATCTTCCCGGGCATATTTAGCATAATCATTGCGAAGAGTGCGCATTAATATCATAGACACCAAACCGGTTAAGAAAATTACCATCATGAAAGAATTAAAGACAGAAAACCAGTGAATCTGCAAATACGATGAATTTTTAATGAGATCACGGCAAAGGGAAATAAAATCAAAATAGATACTCTTTCTTGAGTTCTCCATCACCTAGAAAAATTGAAGAAATTCACCTGGTGCTCAAAAAAGGGGTAGTCCAAATAAACATCAAAACGACGTGCGAATGTAATATTAGTTGGGACCCATTTGACTGAGTAAGTCATTTCCAACACTCGCCCCTCCTCAAGTGGCTTAGGGTTTTCTTGAGTAAGATTTACATGGATAATCTGTAAGTCGTTTATCAATAAAAACATTAACAAAATCTTACAGGAGAAAAATATTGTTTCATAACAACAAAACAAAACTTTTAAGTTGGACCTACTTGATTCCCATTGTAGTTAATGACAAGGTTTTTGTGTGTCCAAAGTACGTGCTTAGTATCATGGGCTCTATCAGGAACCACCTCGCCAATAAAACCTTCGAGAAAGAATTGTCAAATTAATCAAACCAGAAGATAAATCAATTAAGTATGGAACCCACATATATTCGTAAAAAATGAAACATACCCCATAGTGGCAGATCATCTGACCGGAGGAACCATATGTACACAGAGACAACGAACCAGTTAGTGAGCAAAATGTAGTTTAGCAATTGTGGCAATTCATAATTGTAGTAAACATGACAAACATACCCATAAAGAATTCAAACCAGTACGAATTATCAATTGCATCTTTAAATTGTTTAGCCTTTGCTGCTTCAAGCTCAATTTCACAGACTGTGGTCTTCTCCACATCTCCTGAAAAACATGATTTTTACAAATATAAATGCCGAGGTGTAGCCAACGGAAAAATTATGAACAAAAGAAAAGCTCAGTAACAGGGAATTACTCTTAAATTTGATTTCGATTTGGCTATCAATAAGCTCATTCCCCCCGAGAACCTCACCGAGCCCACCCCATTTATGAGCTGGGTTTCCAGGTGCACGGCAAAATGGGAGGCTGTAATAGTTGTAGGTTTCCTGGGGATTGTTATATGGGCCAACCTTATTTACCCAGAGCGTAACGGCCTCCCCATCTTGAAACTGCACATTGCCCAACCACATGTCAGGATACTGAAGGCAAATCCTATTGCATTAGGCAAATTGAAATGCACCACATAGGCCTAATATTAGTTAATTGACATTGTCATCAGGAAAGTAAACGATCACTAACAAATATGAAGTACAAACCGCCGGACAAGTAATATCGTGTGTACAACAGGTATTGCAGACAAAACAAAATGCAGTGAGAGGATAAATGGTCTCCAGCATCGAGACGAGTTTTGCCCAAAGCATTTCAATCTTTCTCATGCAACATTAGGCCATTCAATATCATGTAAACGATCCAATTATCCTCGTCGATTTGTCTTTCAATATTTGCCTTGACCATCATAAACCAAAGTATTCACTGACTGCACAAACCGCGCCACACGCATATATGAAGAATACCAAAAAGGACGAGAGAACAAAAAAAAGAGCCAAATTAACAACAATTGAGATGAATTAAAAACGAGTGCAAATCACAACAGACAACACAAATCTACAGCTAGATCTACGAACGCACGACAAACGAGTACGCAACCTTCAAAAGCTAGCCGCTGTAAATCAGTAAAATCAATCACCTTTCCTCGAGCGGACGGGACGAGGAACGAGATGAAGAAAATGCAGACGGCGGAGAATCTGAAGACGGAACCCATCGCATACGTACGGATAAGGTCCTTCCGATCTGAATCGGGAATAGCTCAACAGATTCAAATCTGACAAAAAATAAAAATAAAAATTGACGACAAAATGGGGAATCTTTTCGTGTAGCTCCCACTGATCCTCTCCGGGCAATTCAATTCAGATCTCGTGTGTATTCTGAGATTAACGAAGCTTTGGGCTCAGGATTTCATGTCCGAGTTCGATCCAATTCCTGTATAATTGTCTTCTTTTTTCTTTCTTTTTATTTTTCCCTTTTTTCAGGATGTTGTACGATCTCAGTGATGGTAAAAAGTGGGGTGAAAAAATAGCGTGTGAATGTGGGTTTATGGGTCACACGGAATGTGATTGTGCGAGTCGCGGGCCAACTTATATTTGTAACATTTTGCCAATGTTGTCGCCAAAAATAAATAAATAAATGCTTACGGCTCTTAACGAACAGAATATTCGCGAACGAAATCTCGTTTGAGCACGTTCGTGTTCAATAAAAGCTCATTCATTTGTTAATCAAGCTGAATCAAAAAAAAAAAAAAAAAATAGACTTGTTTAATAATCCAACAAACACGAGCTTGTTTGCGAACATTATTGAAGGTTCGCGAACATTAATTTAATATAATTTTATTTTTTTATATTTACATGATATTTCTAATAAAAATAATTTGAAATATAGAAATTTGTTTATTTTATTTTTTTATTTTGGAATTGAAACAAACGAATTTCGAGTTAATCAAACATGATCAAAAAGTTTATGTCCCAAATTATTCTAACAGGAACTTTGACGAACAATTAAACGAATGAATCGAATAAGTTCGAACACGATTTTTTTCTAAAAAATAAACGATTGAACAGGAACATTGTTCGCATATAAACAAACATGAGCTCCAAATGCCCAAGTTTGGCTGATTCGATTCGATTATAGCACTACTGATAAGCTCTTAGCGAGCAATAAGTTGACCGTCAATATTAAAGGTATATTAGGTAAATCTACTTGATATAGCTGATAAATAATAAATATACGAGTTGTATGAGCATGCTAAACAAGCTTGAACTTGACTCTTTTATCAATATTAAGTGTATGTTTTATAAATCTAGCTAATAACCATTAAGTTAAATTACAGCTCATAAGTTAATTTCAATTATTATAATTGATAGTTTTTAATTAATGGCTGGAAATGTAGTTGATATAACAACAAAAAATTGCTAAAATTAGTTGATATATTAACTCAAAAAAAAAATAAATCTTTTTAAACTATTTTATGCAGTTTGTGAGATAAGGTCGAGAATTTTTTTTAAGTTAATCTTACGAAATCAAAGACAATGAGACACAAAAAAAAAATAAAAAAATAAAAATAATTAAATTACAAATTACTTAGATAAGATGTAGGATATTTGGTAAAATTAGCTGATAGCTGATAAGGTAACTTATAACTTATCGGTCATTTTTTTTAGCTTATGCCCCATTGTTTTTTAGCTTTTTTGTCAAAAAGCTATATTAGCAGCTTTGATCGAAATGTGAAAAGCTTAAATTGGTTTTTTTGTTGTTTAGTAAAACAACTCTTGAAATCAATTTATTGGCTCAAAACGCTAAAAATGAAAACGCTACATTAAGGAGCGTTTTGCTTCAGCATTTTGGTTTCCTTTTGTCACCTTGAATACAAATGTTATATGCATGGCACAGGGCCATCATTTAAAAGCACTCGTTTTGCACAAACTTTTTAATTGTCTTGCATACACTTTTTTTAGCACGCCATTTTTTCCTGTTTTCTTAATTGTCTTGCATACATCTTTTTAAAGCACTCGTTTTTGCACACACTTTTCAATTATATGCACCGGTCAAATTAATAAATAAAAAATTTAAGTGTGATTAATATTAGTACTCTTTTTAATTGGAATTAATATTCTTGCTTAATTAGAATAGATGTGTATTCTTTTCTCATAACTGAATGTCGTTATAAGTAATTTTACATGTTAACGGCTAATTTTATCAATCACTTTATTACAAACCGTTAACACAATCAGCTGGTCAAAACAGCTAACACAATCCGTTGGTCGAAGCAGCTAATGCAATCCGCTAACAGCTAACCGCTGATTACCAAACAAGGCCTAGCTTATGACTTACAGTTGAAAAATTATAAGATAAATGTTTGGTAAAATTAGCTGATAAGTTATCTGAAATAAAAAATTCAACTAGCTTACTTAAAAAAACTACCTAATGAAGCTTATCAAATAAGCTCGAGTTTTTTTAAAAAAACTCGTCCTACCAAACAAGATTTTTTGAACACGAGGAGCTTATAAATTAACAAAATAAACTATATGTTAGCTTATTTGTTGACAAACATAGCCGTAGCCCGTAAGCTAACTTCTTATACTTACCAAACACTCGCTAATAAATTGTAATATTGTTTTAACAACTCGTTTATTAATTATTAACTAGTATTATTGCCCGTGCAAATGCACGGGTCATATTAAAAGAAGTTGACGTCAAAAAACAAAGTATAATCATACAGTTACAAAATTATAAATTACCCAATACTTCTTTATGTTCATGCTCTTTTGGTTCGTAAAAGTTAATTGGTTGTATCGTCACATTATTATTTTTAATCTTTTCATGTTAATAATAAAAAGCAAGAATCAATATAATAATAAACATGATAAATTGATAATCAATAAAACTAAGTGAAAATGGAATTTGAACAATCATATTAACTTAATATAATTAATCCAGAGCAACAAAAAATTGTGCCATATGTCAATATCAAACATAAATTAATACAGTTAATTTATGAATAATTAATACAATTAATTTAAAAAAGCACAAACCATAGATAAAAATTATACATTCAAATATAATGGTTTTACCATCCTCTTTCTTTTCTTCAACTTCTGAACTTTTCCCACCTCAATCATGAATTTTGTACTAAAAAAACATAAGTTTGTAGACATTAAAAAAAATCGTGGCACTTATGAATAATTCAACCAATTTTTTATTTTTATTTGCATAAAAAAAAGTTACCTCAAAGTCATGTAAATGTAAAATAAGGCAAAAGACCACTTTGTTTAATTTATGTTGACATCTCTTTCAGTAGTAGGGAAGACATTGATTGATTACCAAATAAATTCAAGTATATGTACCATAATATCTGTTGCAAAATTGTTTTGAAATTAAAGTATCATATTGTAGACATCGAAATTTTAATATTTTATTAATTAATGTCTTTATTTATTTTGGGACATAAATCCAAGATAAATAAGATAATTAATTAATAAATTATTTATTTCTTGCCCACCAAGTCAAATCTTAGGATAATGAAAGAAATTATATCAAATCTTAGGAGAATGAAAGAGATTATGTCAAATCATGAAGGACCAGTCAAATTGAAGTCTTCTTCTCCAAGACCTCTCTCTCCTACACCTATAAATAGGGCTCTCCTCAATGCCACAAATCACACCTCAAACACCTCAAACACCTAAAACACCTCAAACACCTCAAGAAATATCAAACACATCTCAAAAATCAAAGTCTCCAATTCAAGAGCTCTCAAGAATCCTCTTGAAGATTTGAAGAAGTTCTTGAAGAACCGTCTGAGGTCCGTTCAATGAAGAAGAAGGCCAAGAAGAAGAAAAAGAGGCGGCGACTCTTCCTCAAGAAGTAAAGAGACGACTTTCACGCTTCTCAAGTCAATTCAAGAATATCAACGACGTTCAAGTGACATTCAGGCCGCATTCGTTGAGAAGTTCAACCAACATAGCGTTTGATCCGGGAAAAAGCTATCAAGCCCCCGAATCAACGTTATTCAAATCAGAGTCCCTCTTTCAAGAAGATCAAAGAATCAAGTCTTCCAAGAAGTCTTCTTCAATCAAGTCAAGGCCTAACATTTAATACGGGAATAAGTCGATCGACCCCCAAATTAATGTTAGAGAAATTCAAGACCAAGCTCGAAGGAGATTCAATCGTCAAATCCATCTTTTAAGATCTCAAACCCAAATCCATGAAGAGAAGAATCAGAGGAGATAAATAGAGATTGTACCTGCAATATCATTTGATCGAAATAATCAAGTTGTACAAAAGTTTTATGTTTTTCATAAAATTTGTTGTTACAAATTTGGCACGTCCAGTGGGACTCGAAGTAAAATTTATTGTTACAAATTTGGCACGTCCAGTGGGACTTTCTCTACCTCTCATCTCTTCTCTCGAAATCAAGTTCGAAGATTTTTGAAGATGTATGAAGACCTCTTTGAAGAAAATATACATGGGGGCAATGAAGAATGATGTCTTTCCAAGCCATGAAGCATGGGGGCAATTCACATGAAGAGCTCCATCAAATATTCAAATGCTCCTTGATATGAGCCTAAACTATCTACATATTCCAATGCTCCTTGATACGAGCCTAAACTATCTACATATTCAAATGCTCCTTGATATGAGCCTAAACTATCTACATATTCAAATGCTCCTTGAGATGAGCTTAAACTATCTACATATGCTCCTTGATATGAGCCTAAACTATCTATATGGCTCCTTGACACGAGCATAAAATGTCTACATATCAAGATCTCCTTGACACGAAAATAAAAAGTCAACATATCAAACTTGAAGGCTCCTTGACACGAGCATAAAATGTCTACATATCAAGATCTCCTTGACACGAGAATAAACGGTCTACATGTAAAATTTGAAGGCTCCTTGACACGAGCATAAAATGCCTACAAACTTGAAGACTCCTTGATACGAGTATAAAATGTCTACAATTGAAGGCTCCTTGATACGAGTATAAACTATCTGTCAAATCAAATCAAGACTCCTTGATACGAGTTTAAACTATCTACAAATTATGTCAAATGAAGAACTCCTTGATATGAGTATAAACTATCTACAAATCAAGTCAAATGAAGAACTCTCTGATATGAGTTTAAACTATCTACAAACTCAAGTTGAAGAACTCCTGGATAAGAGTTTAAACTATCTACATGTCCAAACCAAATTCAAAATTTTGAG